TACTTCATAGGAACAAATGAGCCCCTTGTCGTCATTGAGTGACGATTTTCCAAATAACTTCCCAACAGTGCTGTGACCCTCAAACTTGGCCTTTAAAGATTGGAAAAATGATGCCACTTTGTCGGCTTTATCCAAATGAATTCTTACCAAATGGTCTTTCAGTCGGGAAGGCTTCATCACTTCATTTGAAAATGTTTTCTCACAAAGAAGACAAAACAGAAGTTGTACGTTGGAAGGAGATGGAATGAATCCCAATTTTAGGTATTCCATCGAATATTGGCGACACTTGCTCTTCTCAGCCATGTTGAGAGGTCTTTGAAATGAAAGGCACTACCTTCAAATTAAATTTTCACTAGAAAAACATACTTGGGCATTGATAAACCTAGTTTCAACAGTTATGTTGACATTACAGCTGACGTCACAGGGGACAGCCACTCAGCGTGTGATGTTTCGAAAAAAGCGCTCCCCCTCCATCACTGTCCATTCTGGCCAATGGCGCACCACTGTATGGGTAGTGGATGCTGCACAATGCGCATGAAGATAAGCGATGCATATTCACATATGTACGGCGTTCTGTACTGAAGCTAGCTGGAGGAACATTTGAAAACACAATTCAATCCACTCATAGCGAGCAATCTGATGTTTTTGTACGACAGATATACAGCTATTCACTGTACGAAAAAGTCTCAAAAGTATCCCCAAAACTTCTCACTGCATTGCCCCCATATCTCCCCCTTTTCGTTCCTTCACATTGCCCCCACATTGCCCCTTTTCGTTCCACTACCTCCATTTCTTCCCCATCTATTTGTCAGGAATTGAGAGGGCTGGATGCCATGATTTTGGTGTTGGTAGGGGACAGTAAATTAAGTTATAACAAAAGATCTTAAATTCTGAAATCTTCAGTTCTAGAAGGTAATAGGTTAAGGTGCATGGATAATGATATATGATACTATTTTCATGTGTACATAAACATTACAGATCAGGTCACAAATCTTAGAATACATATTTTTTCTTTGTACTGAATACTCACTAAAAAGTCTCATGAACACAAGGCCAAGTTTTTACTTAAGTGTGAGGAAATTACCAATCCTTACATCTGACTCTTTATCTCTAGGCATACAGTAGATCAGGGGTCCTCAAACTTGGTGAAGTTTGAGGACTCCTGCAGTAAATGGTGCTTTTCAGTTGCGTCTTATAAGAGTGCTGTTGAGCTCGTGCCCTTTGACATTAAAAAACTTCTTTTGTACTGGAGAGTTTATTGGGTCAAACATCACTTCCTCCTCATGGAACTATTGCAGTGTAAATCCTTGTGCAGATGTCTGAATCAACCCTACATTTTCCTCAGCTGAACTATATACAAAACAATTTTTATGGCATGGGATTTTAAACCCGCATTTAATGTTTGATAGAGTAGTTATCATGGCTGTTATGCTTGCTTTAGAAAATCCTCTTTTCAAATTACTCTGAATTTTCCAGAGTAATTGAAAAAAGAGTAATGGCTTAACACCATTGGCTGACCTTCTCACTACAATTAGGAGAACATAAGTCAGTTCTGATAATAAGAAATAATGAACCCAATGTTCTGTTCAAAACACAAAGCAGATGCAGCCCTGGTGGTACTTATCAGAATATAAGAGACATAAAGGCTTTGAATGAAAAGTTATTCTCATTCAAAGAATAAGCAAAAATTGTTCACCCCTTTATTTAAGAATAAATTAGATTGAGATTATTTTTGTCACACTGAGAATGGATGTTTCAAATATAGCTTCTTGACTACCCAAAGCTTAATATAATATTTCCAACCCAAATGAACTACATTTTGGGACCTTTTATTTATCTTAGATATTTCTTTAAACTACTCAAGATTATATTCACATATGTTCACCAACTGATCAGAAACTCTCTCCAAACTTCCTTGATTTTTCCTTCTCTTTTCTTCTGTTAGGTGAACCATCTACCTCTGGGTTGCCTAAAAAAAGTAATACAGCTAATGTGCCATGGGGGGGATAGGAGGAAAAGTTGCAATTGTTTTTTCTTGTGAAGAAACAGCAGTGATAGTTTTTAAGGAAAAAACATATGCAAAGAGAATGAAATGGTAATATCCTTTTCTACAGTGTAAAAAGGTGTGGTGGTGCCATTGCTAAAATATCAACAACTACTAATACTTGATAAAGGAGAGTGCTATCTGTGAGGGAAGCAGCTCATTATGTGAAGAAAGGAGTTTGGGGGAAAAAAGAATATTGGAACCATACTAGACATTATGTAGAACATGTAATCATATTTCACTTTAAAAAATTAAAATAGCAGTTGTGGACATCCCTGATCAGAATAATAATGATACATGAAGTAATTTAAATTTTCATCATCTGCTACAGTTCTGATGAAAAATATCCAACAATTTCTAGAGAGCAATTTTATCAGGATCACTTTGTGGTTCGAAAGACTAATTTCAGCCAGGGCACCAACGTTCTTTTCCTTTATTGAATAGCTCTTACCATTAAGAATTTTTCCCCAAGGATTAGCCAAAATCTACTTCCTTTAAATGCATAGTTTTGTCTCCTGTTTTCTGGAACAACTCTAAACAATTCTGCTTCATCTTCTACACATCAGCCATTCATACTGGAAGGCAGTATCATATTACCCCCACTACCCTACAACCATTTCCCTTAGGTTTTCTCTTCTCCAAGTTAAATGTATGAGAAATGGTTGGAGGTGTTTTGTAATTTTTTCCTTCCATTTTTTCCATCCAGACTCTTTATCATTTTGATTGTCTAGGATTGCTTTAACTATTTTGTAGTAGTTTTAAACTAGTAGCTCATATTCCACTTTAAGCTACCAAGAAACCCAGATCCTTACCACTAGTATTACAGCTCACTGTGATCTCCTCTACCCCCATACTACTGTTTTATTTTTCTTACCTCAATGTAAGAGTTTGCAGTTCTCCTGGATAAAATTTATCTTGCTGGTTTATGTCGATTGTTCCATCTTGTTGAATCTTAATACTCTTCTTTAAATTTTTTGCTATTCCCTATCTGCAAATTTTTCTAAGTTTCATCCAAGTTATTTATGGATATTCTGAACAGCCCAGGACCTAGAACAGACTCCTTGATCCTGCCACTCAACGCTTTCCTATAGCTAGATACAAAATCATTGTCATACAATGGTTTAGTATAATTGCTCAATCTGCTTTGGATTCAAATAACAATAGCTTAGTTCATAATTTTGTTTATGACGATGTCATGGGAGACTTTGTAAGATGCTTTGCTGAAGTCAAATGGCATTTTTATGGTCCACTAAACTAATCATTTATCAAAAAAGAAATCAAATTACTTTGGCATGGTTTATTCTTAACAGATTCACACTAGCTCCCAACAAGCAAAAGCTTCTTTTCCAAGTGCTTACAAAATATATTCTTTCTAAATATTTAGTCAAATAAATCCGTTTGTCATTTGCAATATTATAATTTAAAACCTAATTGCTACCATATGAAGAAAATAAAAAAGAGTGTTCTCAGTTATCTGTGAAGCATCCCTTTAAATATCTGAAGATATCTTATTACTTTTTAATTATCTCTTCTTCAAGTTAAACATTTCTAACTTATTCAATTTAACTTTGTTGAACTTGGTTTTCTGATATCTTCCTTCCCCAAAACTTCTGATGAAGTCAAAATACTTACATTTTTCTGAGCATCTGATTCATATGGCAAACCATTGCTTTTCAATATTCAAGTCTTACTGCATGATACAGCCATTTTATCTTCAATATAGAAAGAATAAAGAGAGCTGAACATGTTTCCTGGGATGCACAAATGAAGGATTTTTAAAATATCAGTAGAGCCTTTGAGTTCTTATCTATAGCCCTAATTCTACAATCTAAATACAAATAAATCTGACTTTTTAAGCCTTTTGAGATTAGCCAAGGATATGTAAATGCTGCTAGTTAAATTTGCCTCATGCAAGTAGCAGGCCAAAAATTCAGTGAAAGACGTTTACTGACATTTACCACTAATAATGCTTTTCCATTGGCTGCAAACTGGACAATATTTTATTTTCCTGGTGCTGCCCCAAAATATTATGCATGTAGATCAAAAGAGAACATCATAGGCATGTAGACAGTATTCACACATAAGATATTACTTTTTTAATATGGTTTGGGTCACACAATGTGGTTCACATGCCTAATAAGCCATAAATCATGACTTAGAAGCAATAGTGGCTTACCAGTTGCATGACATTTTTCTTTTACATTTGATGGATAAACAGTTGGAGAAAAACATGGAACTTTGTTTTTATATATGATAATTTCAGTGAGGCTCTTGTATGCCCAGTGACAAAAAGACTTACAAATTTCCACAATAGAAAAATAGAAAGGAAGGGGTGTTGTCTTACCTGAACGCCTTTTCTCAGCATGATGATGGAGAATCCACAAGTGGGTTGTCTTAATCTTCCTGCTCCAATAAGACTAAGTCTGAAGTAAAGGCACACCTCTGCTGTGTCCCTACACCCCAGTTTGAGACTAAGGCGATGTACAGACATTAGTCCAACACGCATGGTTTCTTATCATTGGAATCAGGGCCAAACTGACCCTAGTTGGGAGGGGGTGGATTCTCCATCATCATGCTGAGAAAAGGCATTCAGGTAAGACAACGCCCCTTTTCCAGCATGACTGGATGGAGAATCCACAAGTGGGACATACCAAAGCCCTGTGTCCCTAAGGGAGGGAGTCAGTTTGGGCCTGTGTCCCGCTAGAAGGCAACACTCTTTGCAAGACTCTGTGACCAAAGGAGGCATCTGAGGAGGCATATTTGTCAATCTTGTAGTGACGGACAAAGGACGAAGGGGAGGACCATGTAGCCGCCCTGCAAATTTCTCCTATAGATGCCTGGGTTGCCCAAGCCGTGGAAGTAGCGGCACCCCTGGTGGAATGGGCCGTGATATTTCTAGGTACAGTCAGTGAATGTGTCCTGTATGCTAGGAAAATGCAGGACCTAATCCACCTCCCTATTGTTGTTGAGGAAACTTTCTGGCCCTTGGCCGAAGGTTGGGAGGAAATAAACAATGCCTCAGATCTACGGAAGGCTGAAGTCCGATTGATGTAATGTTGCAAGGCTCTGCGAATGTCCAGTGTGTTCCACTGTATCTCAACGTCATGGGATGGATTAAGATAGAAGTCTGGTAAAACCACTTCCTGGGATCTATGGAGAAGGAGTTTACCTTGGGAATAAAGGAAGGGTCAAGTCTGAGGATTATCCTGTCTGGATATAAAATGCTCAGATCCTCTCTGACAGAAAGGGCAGCCAGTTCCGAAATTCGCCTGGCTGACGTGACCGCCACAAGGAATGCCACCTTCATAGATAAAAGTTTTAGTGGACATGTATCAATAGGTTCAAATGGAGGTGCAACGAGTGCCTGTAAGACCTGGTGAAGGTCCCATGAAGGGTATCGGTGTACTGTCGGTGGCTTGGCATTGGTTGCTCCTTTTAAAAAGGAACAGACCATGAGATGGTGAGTCAGAGAAGTGGCATTGTCACACGTGAGTACAGTAGTGAGAGCAGCAACCTGTCTACGGATAGTATTCGGGGATAGTCCTTTATCTAACTCATCCATCAGGAATTCCAACACAATTGGAACTGAGATACCCGAGAGTTCCACCCTATGTTCTGCACACCAAGTGCAGAAACTCCTCCATGTGGCATCATATATTCTATTCATCGAGGGGCGCCTGGATTGTTGAATCATGGCTATCACCCTCGACGAATATGAGTCCTGGCTCAAGGCCCGCCTCTCAAGTACCAAACGGTTAGTTGGAGCCACTGCGGGTCCGGGTGTTGGAGTTCCCCCTGAGTGAGGGAAATACGACCTGCCGGGATCCTCCATGGAGGTGAGACGGAGAGCTCCATCAGGTCCGCGAACCACAGTCATCTTGGCCAATGTGGGCCAACCAGGAGAACTTCTGCCCGTTGGTGGAAGATCTTGTGGATCGTAGCGGGAAGGAGTGGAAAGGGAGGAAAGTCATAAAGCAGTTCCCTGGACCAGGGACTGCGGAGGGCATCTGTCTCCTCTGCTGACGGAGATGGGAACCTGGAAAGGAATCTCGGGAGTTGGGAGTTGGTTGGGGAGGCAAAAAGGTCTAGGGTTGGGGAACCAAACCTGTCCATGATCTCCCAGAACATTCCCGGGTCCAGTCGCCATTCGCCATGGTCCACAGTGGCTCTGCTTAGTGAGTCCACCTGCTGATTGGTCACTCCGGATATGTGCTCCGCCCTGATGGAAGCAAGGTTCAACTCCTCCCAAGACCCCAACAATTGGGCCTCCTGCATGAGGGGCCTGGACCTTGTCCCCACCGTCTGTTGACGTGGGCCTTGGCAGCTAGGTTGTCGGTAAGTACCAAGACATGCTGTCCCGCTATTATGCTGCTGAAATGTTGTAGGGCCAGATGTATGGCCCTGAGTTCCAGCCAGTTGATATTGTTTATCAAATCCTCCTGGGACCACCGACCCTGAACCCAATGTGATTGGAGATGTGCTCCCCAGCCAAATAGACTGGCGTCTGTAGTGAGGGTGATTCTGGCTGGTTCCTTGAACTCTGTGCCCCATGACAGCACTGGGGAAGCCCATCATCGAAGGGAGTTCAACGCTGACCGTGGAACTCGAACCTTCTGTCTGGAAGCACTGATGTGTAGCCTCTGAAACGGAAGAAGAAGCCACTGCAGTTCCTGGGCATGAAGGCATGCCCACGGAATGATCTGTACACAGGATACCATTTTCCCCAGGAGTTGGGATAATAAGGCTAAGGTGACTACCTTGTCCTTTCGTATCTGCTGTACAAAGGCCCTAATGCTGTCCTGTCGATCCTGAGACATGTAGACTGTACAATTGTTAGTGTCTATGATTGCCCCTAAATGAAGGAGCCGGGTTGAGGGTATAGTATGACTTTTCTGCAAATTGATCGAAAACCCGTGCTCCTGAAAGGTCCTGACAGCGAGGGCGAGTTCTGACTGGGCCTTCTGAAAGGAGGAGGACTGTATTAATATGTCGTCCTGGTAACATTGGACTCGGATGGAATCTGTCTCAGGTGAGCTGCCAGCACTGCCAATACCTTTGTAAATACTCTGGGGGCTGCAGAGAGGCCGAATGGTAAGGCCCTGTGTTGGTGGGCATAGCAAAACCTGAGAAATTTGCGATGACCAGGGAGAATAGGAATATGCAGATAAGCCTCAATCAAGTCTATTGATGTCAGGAAGTCCCCTTTTCGGATGCTGGCCAAAATTGATTGTAATGATTACATTTTGAATTTCCTGTATATCAGATAGTGATTTAGCCTTTTAAAATCTAGGATTGCCCTCCAACCCCCCGAAGACTTGGGAATGATGAACAGAGTTGAGTAGAACCCCCATCTTTCCTGGTCTTGCGGTACTGGTTCTATGGCCCGTATCTGCAACAGGTGGGATATGGCCTCTGACATGAGGGCCACCCTGTTCATGTTTGTGGGTGTGGGGCAAATCCGGAATCGGTCCGGTGGACTGGAACAAAACTCCAGCATCAGGCCCTGTGAGATGGTATTCAGCACCCATGAGTCCGTAGTTGTGGCTGCCCATGTGTCATAGTAAAGGGACAGTTGGCCTCCTATGGGAGGTGTGCCCAAGGAATAACTTGCCTCTTTTGAAGAGGCATGCTCCTGAGCCTCGAAAGGGCCACTTGCCCTGGGCCTGTGGATGGGATCTGGGTGTGGGACGATCCTGTTGTCACTCCGGCCTCCGATAGAAGGAGCGATTGGACTGGGTCCAGTCCCAGCTTCAGGCCGGCCGAAAGGACTGCCTACGATGGAAGCTCTGAGATGACCCAGCCCCTGAGTGCTTGTCTCCCTTTTTATTGGTATTGAAAAGAGACTTGCGCTTGTTCTTACCTTCTACCAGGTAGGGGTCTAGAGCCGCACCAAAAAGATAACCCCCCGCATAAGGCTTGGTAGCAAGACGCCACTTTGCTTTGAGGTCTGCCCGCCAGGTCTTAAGCCACAGAAGTCTGCGGGCTGAAACATCCACTGCTATGGCCCATGAGGAGTACCTGGTGGAGTGTAAGGAGGCATCAGCCAAGTACTGGGATATGGCTACTAGTTTGCCCAGGTTTTGATGGACACGAAGCTGGTCAGAAGGAACCATGTCTTGAAGCTCATGCAGCCACAGAACGGAAGCTCTAGAGAAGAAGGCCATGGATGTGGAGGCCTTGATCGCCCAGGCCGTCGCCTGATTTGATCTGCACAGGGCCATTTCAATCTTTTTGCCCTCAGCCTTAAGTGCTTCGGCTATGTCCCCTGGGATATTAATGTTGGAAAACAGAGAAAGCAGGGGCTCATCAACCTGAGGAACCTCCAATAAGGAAGCGAGGGAGGGGGCCACACTGAACAAGTTCTTCTCTGTAGATCCCAGACAGGGAAGAGAACCCAGGTTATCTCACTGTTTTTGCACCGTGTTGAGGAAGAACGGGGGGCAAGGGACATGTTTATGCGGTACCACTGGTTCAGCATATAAGGCATTGGGGCCCTTTGACGTAGAAGGAGCTGGAGTCTCCTGTTCCGGAGTAAGGTTGGCTGTGGTGCAGGCCATGAGGAGCAAGGAGTTGAAGAGGGAGTGGTCAAAGAGCCCGATAGGTGGTGCTGGATCAGATGCTGGGTAACCTCATCATCTGATAGGATCAGGCAAGAAGAATTGTAGTCGTCTGATCCCGACTCCAATGAGACGTCCTCTGTGAGGCCTGGTGAGTCAGGACAAGGTGGAGGCTGTGGTGCTGCAGCTTGAGGGAGATGTTAAGGGGCAGAAGTGGCCATGAATTGGGCCAGGGCCTGAGCTATCATGGCCTGAACCTGCTCTGGTCCTAATGGTTGGGGCTCAGGAGGATGAAGTCCTGCTGCAGTGGGTGTAAAGGTGGCTGAAGGGCCAGATATGCCCTGGACAGCAGGTCCCTGCGCTCCTAAGTCCAATGCTGACCTATTAGGGTCAGTCTGCACCACTTTCCTAGGGGGAGACCAGGCCCCTGGGGCAGAATTGCAATGGTCAGACAGGGGCTCAAATATGGACCCTCCAGAAGGAATGGTGTCCATAGGCCCTGGGATAGTTGATCCTGCCCTGGATGAATCCTGCTCCCAAGATTGCTGAGGGGCAGAATTCTCTCTGCTACCTGCCTTAGGCCTCTTGGAGGACTTTGCCCTGGGCTTGGGTGTGTTCCACCCCGCTGCCTCAGTAGAGGCCTTGTGCTTCTTTTTGGTGGGGGGCTCTGTGGCATCCCCTGAGGATGAGGGGTAGGAATTATCTGCCATAAGTCCTGGAGAAAAAAACTACCTTGTAATATTACAAATACTTACTGCTATTGTTATCAACTGTCCAATTACTGAGATAACAGGCCTCAGGAGGATCGATTCAGTGGTGAAGCAACCCCCCCCCCGAGCATTGTAATCAGCCACTGAAGATCCAAAAATCAATGAAACGTTGCACCCAGGTGAGGGGGGGTCAGATGAAAGGCAGTGCATCCTTGTAGGGATGAGCTTGCCCTCCCCAGGCCGAACTGTCGGCGACGAAACAGGCTGGAAATTCAGAATGGAGGCTGTAAACAAAATGGCGTCTGTAAGAAAAGTGCACCAAAATCCACGCCCAGTCTGCCTCAGAGGCTGTGAAACAGCTCAGTTGAGGCCTCTAGGGACGAGCCCTGCTCCAGTTGGAAGCTCCTGGACTCCTTCAATGATCAAGATAAAGATCTGACCTGTCTGGATCCTTCGATGCAGCCTGCAATCCTCCGACGATCAGCTGGCTACTGGATTGCTCAGCAGCTCAAATGGCCTTGCAGGGAGCTTGCGGAAGGCTAGGGAGGCCTCCGACACTCAGGTGCCTCTACCTAAGCTGCGCAGCTCGGCCATTCGCTTAGGGAGGCTTCCGACAATCCGGGATGCCTCCGACGATCAGCTTCTGCTTGGGGAGGCCTCCGATGATCAGCTGAAGCCTCCAACGATCAGTGGCTGTTCTGGAAGGCCTCCGGCGATCGGCAGACTCCTGGGGAGGCCTCCGATGATCGGAGAGGGCTCCGACTCTCCGATGCCTTTGTTGACGCTGTGAAGATCAGCTGGCTATCGGAAGGCAAAAAAAAAAAAAATGATTTGCAAAGGCCAGCTGAGCTTCGGTGCCCTGTCTCCCTGAGCCGATGAAGCTGTAAAGTTTTGTTGACTCGCGAGGAGCCCAAGATAGGTCAGTTGGCAGGCAAGCCTGTAGGCTGCAGGGCAGAGGGAAGCCAGTCTAGATCTCTGAAGAAAAATCGAGGAAATGGAGGTACAGCAAGTTTCAGGGAAGACCAGGGAAGACCTTCCCAGCAAAAGGAGGGAGAAAAATGGGGAACAATTATTTATGAGGGTAACAAGAATTTAAGATCTGAGAAATGTGTCTGAGGAGCAAGAGACTAAGTCAAAAACTGGGATGTAGGGACACAGCAGAGGCATGCCTTTACTTCAGACTTAGTTTTATTGGAGCAGGAAGATTAAGACAACCCACTTGTGGATTCTCCATCCAATCATGCTGGAGAACATCAAGTACCTTGATTAAAGAAAAGATTTTATCTAATTTTGTTTCTATATGGAAACCACTTTTAGATTTTTTGCTAGAAACCAAAATAAATGCTATATTAATCTGGAGATTTTACAATTAAAATTGTTTATGATTATAAGAATATTGTGTAATACTTAATTTTAGATCAGTTTAATGCATTTCATACTTATAACTATTGTTTATTATTGGCATTTATTTAATAATAAATGAATTTCCTTTCCCTATTTGTTTCCTTTTTTTAAAAGTTCTTGTTTTGTTTATAAGAAATTTAATAAAGTATTTTTTTTAAAAAAAAAAAAAAACTAGTCAAACCACATAATGGCTTAGTGTAATGAATGAATTCTGACATAGCATAAGATAGTCAACTTTATATTATGGTATAATTGTAACAGATAATAAATCAGGCAATTGTCCAATACATTTCTCTCCTTATTTGGTAATTGGTCATTCTTCATTTCCTATTTTTGGCAAAGTGGGTATTTAATATGTCCAAGTAGAGGAGGCATATCATAAAGGCATATCATATTTGTTTTAATACCATAGAGAGTTGCAAAGGAAAAATATAGTTTCTGATTTGGCTAGGAGAAATAAAAGAATGCTGATTTTCTAATTAATTCATGACTATGCAAAGTTATTCAGCTTTTCTAATATTTCATTTGTTCTTCTGTCTCTCATTCACTCTCCCTTTTCTTCCTCCTCTTTTATTTCTAGCTAGTTTTTGCAGGAAAAAAGTTTCTTTTCATGCAATCTTTTCTCAAGACCTTGTCTCTCTCTTTTTTTTAATGGACAGAAGAATCTGCATTTCTGCCCTATGAAAAATTCTGAGGAAGAGTAAATTTTTGCCGCAAAAAAAAAAAAAAACCACGTTTAGGGCTGGAGCCAAATTCTGGATGCAGTAATCCTGATAAGTTTTTTGCTTCATAGAATGAAAATTGTACAGCTGCGTGTGAGCTGGGTCTTTATCCCTTTCCTCTTTAGTGCTTAGCAATTTCTCATTCTGTAATTTGTTTCCCTTATCTTTTCCCTGCAAGCTTTAACTCACTCTCTGTAGTTTTATTTGGTTTCTTCCCCTCATCTCCATTTCCATTAGGTCTTTGAACAGATCCTTCTGAAATCCCATATTTCACCACTAATTGATTGCACTTTCTGTTTCAGTGAAACTGGCGGTTGTAACACATTAAATTAGTGTCCTTTAGGATTCTCCTGGCTGCACCAACTTCTCCCATGTGAGAAAAGTTCTAATGAACTTTAAAAAATGAAAAGACTGGTCTGACTTTTGTTGACCCCTGCTTCTACTTCTGAGTTGGCATGTCAACTATCTTGGCTTTTGCAATTAAATCCTCTTTGAATGAAAGAATTAGTACATCCAACGTATTAAATGGAAGCCACATTCTTATTGGGAAAACACAAAACACTTTCAAAAAGCATATCCCTTTCACACATAAAGAGTAATCATACAGTGAGAATATACCACTTGAATTTTCATGGCATGGGGTCTGTGTAAGCAATATTAATATCTAGTTGAATGAGAATTGATTTCTTGTTTTTCTTTCACAAAACAAACGGTACATTAATGTAACATTTAAAAACATAGCTAGCATAGTCAGAAACCACAAAAAACTGTATTTTTAGTGTGTTTTCTATTCTACAACACAGTCAAATTCAAGTTCAGATCCAAACTTGGATCTGAAGGAGAGGGTCCTATTGATATTTTTTTAATTTAAGATTTTTCTCCTCAAATATCTGTAGTAGTAGTAGTAATAGTAGTAGTAATCATCATAATAATAATAAAGTTGGAAGGGACCTTGGAGGTCATCGAGTCCAACTCCCTGCTTAGGCAGGAAACCCTATACCATTTCAGACAAATGGCTGTCCAGTCTCTTCTTAAAAACTTCCAGTGTTGGAGCATTCACTGCTTCTGGAGGCAGGTTGTTCCATTGGTTAATTGTTCTAACTTTCAGGAAGTTTCTCCTTAGTTGCTTCTCTCCTTGATCAGTTTCCATCCGTTGCTTCTTGTCCTGCCTTCAGGCACCTTGGAGAATAGCTTGACTCCCTCTTCTTTGTGGCAGCCCCTGAGATATTGGAACATTGCTATCATGTCCCCCCTCGTCCTTCTCTTTGTTAAATTAGACATACCCAATTCCAGCAACCATTCCTTATATGTTTTAGCCTCCAGTCCCCTAATCATCTTTGTTGCTCTTCTCTGTACTCTTTCTAGAGTCTCAGCATCTTTTTTACATTGTAAAGTAAAACCATACATTGTATCGTTCTATAATCTGATGGTAAAAATAAATGAGGATCCATGTTGGCATTAACATATTCCAGATTTAAATTTATGTCATAGTCTGCAGCCACCAATATAAATGCCAATAGAAACCAGATAAATTAATAAGCATTCCTTTAGGGTGATTAGATTATTTCCTTGGCCTGCTATAACTAGTTATGCTGTTATGATAGCTGTTTTCTAGCTATTGCAATGCCCTCAATTCTCTAAATTCCAAACGGACACCTACGATAAAATGGCTGGAGATTCCTGGCCATGTGAATTGGCATGCTTGTGACCTATTAATATC